TCACTTTATTTTCCTTTAATTGTTTTAGTTATACTTTTCCTAAATATTAAATTTACGTAAGCGTAACTAAGCAAACGAATTAGAATTCAAAAGGTGATCATTTATTATCACGACGTATCAAATATTCCATTTCAGAGAAATAGATGGTAATTGGGTTGATTTTATCTTTTGATCACCATCTTGCCAAATATTGATGCCAAATATTATTTCGCAAGCACAATATTTCACACTAATTTGTTAGGAATTAATCACACTATCATTCACATTTCAAAATGTGACGTAACTTAAACAATAAAAATGTAGATTTACCGTATGTTATTGTTGAGCAGTTATTAGTATGACTGAAATGTTCAACAATTACTTTTCTCAGTGAGCAGTATAAGTAGCTCAGAGCTTCGGCTCTCAGTGAAACCAAAAGTACAACACAATTAGTTTTTTTAAAGTCCATGAAATAATTTAAATTGATAGATTAACTTTTTTAAACTCTTCCCGTCACTGGGGACGGGTACTTTGCTTGTAAGTGTATAATTTCGAAAAATCAACTTAACAGACAACACAAAATGTGTTTTAATCATTCCTCTTTTTTTTTTGTTAGGTTGTTTGTAAATGCGAAAGTCACATTTAAGTTGTTTTTTTAAAATATTATTTAGGCTTATTGTGTATTTCTGGTTTCCAAAAAACTAAATTGTTTTCGTGCTCATCGCCTATTGGCTGATATGAATATGTTCACGTGGAATATCTGAACGAAACTTATGAACTCGTATTATTATACAGCCTGTTTGTAAGTTAACAATAGTTATATTTTATCAAATAAATGTTTGATGCCGTAAATCGATGATGTATATATTTAATATTTTTGACTAACTTGGCATCCTACAACTGTGGCGACTGATTATTATTATTTTAACATTTCTTCACAATATTTGAATGTTAAGTACATGTTTGTTAAATAAGCAAACAAATATCTGTAAGTTTCTTGTTTTATTGTCGTTGTACAGTTCTGTTTTGATAAGGTATAGTATATGGTTGGAAAAGAAGGAGGGGGGAGGATGTTGCATCAGTCAGTTGTTTGTTTTTAAGAGGTCAAATAAAAAAAAACGTTCTATTGCTTCAGTCACGTAACGAATGCATGGATATAAAAGCATAAAATTACTGGAGTCTTACAAATAGTGTCACGTGGGTTTTGAACCAGTTCGCGGGAGGAAAAATTTAATAAAAATCAATTTAACGTATTATGTTTCGTTTTGTGTGTGTGTGTCTAGGTTTTTTGTTTTGTTTTTCGCTTACCCGTTGCCAGAAATTACTGTTCGTTCGAAGCAGGCGTTACGGTTTGTATAATCTTATTTAATTTTCATTACTTTGTGTTCATGTGAGCGGAGAGCTGCTGAAAAGGTTGGGTACGATTGAATCAAATACCGAGATGTTTTCTAAAGTTTGAGGTACCCTCATACTTCAGAAGATTGCCAATAATAGTATTTGGTATTTTCAACCTGAACAGCACTTTAATACGACGCGTGGGTTAAGGGGCTTGGTCATAGTCTCGCGAAGTTTAGACAGACCAATTCATAACTTAGAACTGCCGACCAAAGGGGCAGCAACCAGTAGCTCCGTCGTTTATACGATTACTCTTTATTAACCGAGAGAAATAATTGGCTGTCACTTATATAACGCGCTCATGAAATATAATCTTAATGGATAAATAAAAAACATGGCATCATATTACCAGGTGGATTTTTTTTGATAGCATGTCGGGCTGCGGATTAGAGGGTTTGCACCTTACTACTTGCTGCGGGACACGCTCTGCAATTTCAGCTATGGAGACGTTATAGCTGTGACAGACAAATCCTCTATTCGGTTAAGTGTAGCCGTATAGTAGGCGATGGGTGCTACTGGCTAGATGCCCTCCCTCTGGTCAACAGTTAGGAAGTGCCGTTTACCCTGTGTGTCGCATTAGATATCGTTCGGGTCAGGCATGGCCTAGTGGTTTACGTGCCCGAACTGTGAATTCTAGAGTTCACGGTATGTGTCCCGTTGACGCTATAACACGCTCCATCCTATAAGAGTACCACTATTTGGTCAGATGTGGTTTCTGTGATCAGTTCAATATGAGGTGCGCAGATAGTTCGAGTGTGTCATAAAAGGTGTCATTCAGGTTGAAAATACCAAATTATTTCCTATTATTCAAAAAGTTAGTGTTTCAATTTCATTACGGGACCAGCGCCATTTCATATACCAAATGGGGGGTAGCAATCTTTATTGGAGTTAATTCCTTAGATGGTCTGAGTGTTTCGGTAAAGGCTAAAATGGTTCAACTTGGAGCATGATGGTGGGCAAAACAAAATGCGCGACCTAGCTAACTAATGAATGAATATTTGCTGTAAAAATCTTATTAATGCTATAAGTGTAGCTACCAGTTTGACCTCCAATTTCATTCCTTTACGTCGCACGCTCAATCCTTTTTTGGCCGCACCTTCTTTTCACACCTAAATTGTTTTTAATTAAATCGTATGTTACTGTAACCTTTGCGATCATTGAGGCATCATTCAGCTAAACAGGATTATAATTCTCTATTTTTGGCTATAAATGGTCCCTTCCTAATATTTTACTAGAACTGTTTTGTGGTTCAAGTGTCAACTTAGATATACGAACTGAGGTAGACTGAATTATAAATTCAAGGATTCGTGGTTTGTGGTCCGTTGCCGTAAAAATGTACTCCAAACTTTGAGGTGATGGGTTCACTATAAAAGTGCCGGTGGGTACTGTTTACCAGCTGCCTCCAGTCTAGTCTATCAGTTCTAAATTTAGGACACTATGCTGTATGTTGTTTTCCTGAGAAACACAAAAAGAGGAAATGAATAAAAAAACAACACTTTGTTGAACACGGAACAAATATTCCTAACCTGAGCGATACCTAATACGCAGGTGGGCCAAACAGCGAAGCTAGTAACCCCGACCTA